TAATATTCAGGGATACTGAGTGGTTGCAGCAGTTTTTTCATGTTGTTGTTTGTTGTTGAAAAAGAAAATTGCTGCCAATATTTCATCATCAGTAAAATAAATGAGGGTTATCTCATTTGAAACGCGCTCAATTGTGCTAGGACACTGCTGAGAGTGGGTGTGGTCCTCTGTCTATAGCTCCTCCTCCTGTTGCTCCTCCTTCCGTTTTATTTTATTTTATTTTTCCTCGCGCTGTGTTATTTATTACGAGGATTTTTGAAATTCAGCCTAGTCAGCGCGGCGAGGAATTTTGAAAATTGGGCTCTGTGCGTGTATTGTGTAAGGGGAGGATGAGGAAAAAAAAGAAAAGGATCCGCGTTGCTTAATTTTAATTTTTCGGGGGACGCCGGTGCGTGCGGCGCCCCTTTTTTTGGAGAGGAGGCGAAGAAGACAAAAGGAAATAAGGTGGAGGGCGTCGTTAGTACCGGCGGACGTCTCTAGCTTTGTCCCCGGGGAGAGTCGATATCAGTTGGAATTTCAAAGAATGCCCGCCCCGAGAAAAAAAAAAGATACGAAAAAAAGAGAGAGAATTGCCAACCAATATTTGTTTTTTTTTGTGGTGTTGTGTGTCCGAAAAAAAAATGGGGGAGGCGCGAAGTGTGTCTAAAATGTTCTGCGACGAGTTGCTTTGATTTTGCAAATTTTCTTCATTGCTGCGATGATGGATTTCGTGAGACCCTTCAAATTTTCCTGCATTTATTTATAGGTTCTTGAATTTGTCTTGGAATTTAAAAATATTTTAGTTTTTGCGTCATATGATCGCAAAAATAATAAATCGAAATGTTTACTCAAACATGCAATTTTTCCTTCGACCAGATAAAAAGAAATGTTTCGATAGTTTTTTTCCAAGGATCATCTCTTAATTTCAAATATCATTAAGATGCAATCTCGAATTTTGATTTGGTGTGCTGATGTTCCAGCAATTTTACATCGAGCATATTTTCACTTTCGGTTTCGTCAATTTTTCGGCATGCTTATAATCTGCAATTTTCACTCAAATAGTGTCAAATGCGGATAATTTGCGCAAAGTTGAATCATTACATTCAATTTGTATCCCTCGACCATATTCTTCTCGTAGAAAATTTCGGTTTCGATTCCACATAAAACGCAATGAGAAATGCTTCAAGTGATTTGCGAGACTTTTGGCAACACTTTCCTGCCCCCCATTTCGTTCATGTTAGGGAAAAATTATATGAAGTATACATTGGTACTAAAATTATACAAGTTGTCAATTCACAATTTGTCAACAGTGAAATCTACTTACAATATAACGAAGCTTTACAGTATATTATTAGGAAGCAGCGAAGTGTGTCTAAAATGTTCTGCGACGAGTTGCTTTGATTTTGCAAATTTTCTTCATTGCTGCGATGATGGATTTCGTGAGACCCTTCTGTATTTATTCAGGTTTTTAAATATCTCTTGGAAATTTACAAATATTTTAGTTTTTGCGTCATATAATCAAAAAACTAATAAATCGAAATGTTTACAAAAAATTCAATTTTTTTCTCGACCAGATTAAAAAAAATTGTTTCGATAGTTTTTTTTTCAATGATCATCTCGTAATTTCAAATATTATTAAGATGCAATCTCGAATTTTTATTTATTGTGCTAATGTTCCAACAATTTTACATCGAGCACATTTTCACTCTTGGTTTCATCAATTTTTCGGCATGCTTATAATCTGCAATTTTCATTCAAATAGTGTCAAACGCGGATTATTTGCGCAAAGTTGAATCATTACATTCAATTTTATAGGGAGCTGGTATAAGAAGAGCATCTTTTAAAGCCAAAGCTAAGGTGTATTTTGCGTTACTCTTTACGAAGTTCACTAAACGCTCTGAAAACCGTTGTGAAAGGACGGGGGGTAAAGCAAGTACATTGTTTCGTTTGTTTGTCATTTTGCGTGTTTGTTTTTTTGACTGACTGACGCGTGCAATAAGGGCCTTCGGTGTCGTCGTCGTGCGGAATGCAGTATTGCGTGTGCAGCTAGCAATTTTTGATTTGATTCGAAAAGAAATGTTATTCATCGACGTTTGTAATATTTAAATTCGGGGTCGCGGCAAAGCTCTTGAATATTCTTCAATTGGCCTCTCCCCAACCCCAAATCGTTCTTTTTTCTTCATTTTCAATCACTCAAAAAAAAAACTTCTTTGCGATGATGAGACGCGTATAATAATTGAAGCAACGTCGGAATCCGGGCCTCGTGTGGAGAAGAATTTTTTCGTGATACATGTGTATGCATCCGAGATCTGACGGTTTTCAGAAGAAAAGTGAGAGAAAGAGAGAGAAAAAAAGTTGACAAAAAGCTGGCTCTGGTTCGGACCGGTGTCGGAAAAAATCGAGTAGAACTTGGAGTTACCAGGCTTGAGAAGAAGAAAAAAAAAGAAAAGAAAGAAGCGGTCTTTTATTTTTATTCCGACGCCAAGTGGATTGTGATGCGATATACGTGTAAAAGTTACTTCTCTCATCGTCGTGAGCGTTCCCAAAATTTGTTGGTGTATTTCAACCTCGTTCGTTGTTGTTTTGTTATGCGTCATCCCCTTTTTCCCCCCCGAGGAAGAAATATTTCCCGTGAGACTCAAAAAAGTTTTTTTTTTGAGAAGAAAAAAGGTGCGTTGTATTTTTATCGCGGTGAATGTTCAACGAGATACGCGTCTGATTGCGGGCAAAGAAAAGAAAAAGTGCGTGGGACATTTTTATATTCAAAAAAAGAAAAGAAAGAAAGTTGATGATGGGCGGATTTTCTTTTTGCTTTTTATATATTTCCGTTTCATCCTGCCTCGAAGTGTTTTATTTTGGCACCCAACAACCGCAAAAAGAAAAAATGGACGAGAAATTTTAAAAAGAATTAAATTCAGCCCCATCGATCCTTTCTTCTTTTTTTGTTTTTGTTACCATCTAACAAAACATTGCTTTCATTTGTGTTTTTGTGCGTCTTTTGCGTGGAAAAATGTGGATTGTGTTTTCTTTGGTGCTCCACAAACAAATACACATATCCACTTCTTTCTCTTGGTAGAATAATTTTTTACTTTAGTCCCTACGACTTTTCGACTAAAAATAAAATTATATAACTACGGGAGAAAACACATGAACTCTTGGGACACGACTCTAATATAATTTTGTATAATAATGCATACCTACTTATGCTGGAAACTCCAGTTTCCAGGTTAAAATATTCCTAATTTGAATAAATCACAGTAACTAAAATCTCACAAATAATCAAATAAAAAGATTTCTGAATTGCAATCAACTTGCTTCTCTTTTATGATGAATCTGCCATCATGAAAACCATGGACTATGCACAGAAGAATTCTGCAGAATTAAGAGGATCATGTAATATAGTACTTTAATTTACTTTTACTTGACAATTTGGGGGGAGATTTGCAGGGTACTCCAGTCAATACACAGAAGGTTTGGCAACTGGAATACGCTTTTAAATGTACTGGATAAACAAATGCAGGACACATGTACACTAGCTGTTAAGACAGAACGTTTGTGAGAAGACTCATATGTATTGTATACTACCAACAATAAACTGATACACACAAAAAATGAAACCCATTTTGAAAAACTTTGAACTGATTTACTGTATAGAGATTTACCCAAAAGTAGATTTGAACATGTAATTCTATCCAGATGCTATGAAAACACTGAAAATCTACAGTACATCCATTTTTAAAAATGCATACCCCTTTGATTTCATTCTACTTTCTTGCCTCAGACAAAAACTTTAAAATATGAGTGTTCTTCTCCACAAAAGGAAGAAGCCAATACATCAAAACACATTGAAATTACAGAACACACACAGTTGAACAGAAATATTTTATGAAAAAACTCACATTTACCTGCAAAAGACTGATTGATGCACATGAAGGAAGAATGCCATTTTGACACACTTGTATAGGGATTTTAAAAAGGAGAACTGAACATGATTCTATGAGAACAATATCATATACTTATAGTCCATCCATTTTTTTAAATCACTTAATTCTACTTATTCTTTCATACAATCACTTGAAAACAATTTAATAAAAAAAAAGATGAACTCAACATATACCAGAAGATCCCGTATTATTAATTACACAGTACAGTACTTCCAATCATACACCATATCTATATACAGTAATAGAATAAGTGAAGTGAGTAAGTTTTCTCGCGACACAAAATATAATAATAGTCAAAATGAAACTTGAAACTAAACATTCCGTGGAGCTGGTCGATGGTTTTGTCCTCAATTTACTTCCGTATTTGGCAATTAGGTCAAGTGTGACTCCTATAGTCCATGCGTATCCATTCTTGCCAACGGTCCATCCTCGGAAATCTCTGCCACTGTTTGTTGCATCAAACTTTAAAAAAATAAACAAAGGGGAGGACTCATACTCTAAATTGTTCATACATATGATTTTAATTACGTTCCTTATAAAATCAGGCTTTTTTTTTAGCTATTCATTGATTCAATCCTTTTTTATTCAAGTGGATTTTTAAAATTATTTCTTTGTAATTCCCCCCCCCCCAAATAATATTTAGGAAAATTGAAATTCTCAGATAATTGATAGCAATGAAAATTGAGAAGTTCAGCAAATAATTGGAGTGGATTTTAAAACTATTTTCTTATAATTCCCTCCCCCCTTAAAATACTAAGAAAAATTCAGATTCTCTGATTATTGCAGTGAAAAGTGAGAATTTGAGCAAAAATTGAAGTGGATTTCCAAAACTATTTTTCGTAATTTCCCTCTAAACATGAACAAAATTCAGATTCTCTGATAATTGCAATTACGAACATAAACTATGATATGCAAATCAAGTATTTAGAAAACAATTCGTTATACAGACAAAATCGTTATGATCAGAATCGTCGAGTCCACTTGCATAAGACGCAATGCTTTGATCGATTCATTCGGATGAAAAAAAAACGGCGTGAATTCGGAGACCCCAAAAAATAAAGATAGAGTAAAAAAATGTCAATTCCTTACCATGCGGAAAAATAGTCCCGTTTCATTGTAAGTCCTCTCAACAGATGTCACCAGTTGCTGGGCAATGCGGAAAGCCGCGGCATCCGTGTCAGGATGGCCCACGGAACCCAGGGCCTCCACCAACACGTGTACCAGAGGTGGGTACACGTTCGGGAAGTCCCAGTCCAGGCCGTCGGGGGTCATGCTCACGGGTACCCCGCCGGGGAACCCCAGGGGACTCCGTCGTCCGAAAGTCGAGGTCCTGTTCTTTTTCAGGTACTGCAAAAACTTGAGACCCACTTGTTCCTTGTTNAAAAAAGTTTTTTTTTTTGAGAAGAGAAAAGGTGCGTTGTATTTTTATCGCGGTGAATGTTCAACGAGATACGCGTCTGATTGCGGGCAAAGAGAAGAAAAAGTGCGTGGGACATTTTTATATTCAAAAAAAGAAAAGAAAAAAAGAAAGAAAGTTGATGATGGGCGGATTTTCTTTTTGCTTTTTATATATTTCCGTTTCATCCTGCCTCGAAGCGTTTTATTTTGGCACCCAACAACCGCAAAAAAAAATGGACGAGAAATTTTAAAAAGAATGGAATTCAGCCCCATCGATCCTTTCTTCTTTTTTTGTTTTTGTTACCATCTAACAAAAAATTGCTTTCATTTGTGTTTTTGTGCGTCTTTTGCGTGGAAAAATGTGGATTGTGTTTTCTTTGGTGCTCCTGTTTGTTTATGTGTATAGGTGAAGAAAGAGAACCATCTTATTAAAAAATGAAATCAGGGATGCTGAAAAGCTGATTTTTATTTTAATATATTGATGCCCTCTTTTGTGTACTTGAGAACCCTGTGCCCTCTAGTATAATTTTGTATAATAATGTATACCTACTTATGCTGGAAACTACAGTTTCCAGGTTGAAATATTCTTAATTTGAATAAATCACAGTAACTAAAATCTCACAAATAATCAAATAAAAAGATTTCTGAATTGCAATCAACTTGCTTCTCTTTCATGATGAATCTGCCATCATGAAAACCATGGACTATGCACAGAAGAATTCTGCAGAATTAACAGGATCATGTAATATAGTACTTTAATTTACTTTTACTTGACAATTTGGGGGGAGATTTGCAGGGTACTCCAGTCAATACACAGAAGGTTTGGCAACTGGAATATGCCTTTAAATGTGCTGGATAAACAAATGCAGGACACATGTACACTAGCTGTTAAGACAGAAATATTTTGTGAGAAGACTCATATGTGCTGTATAGGGACAACAATAAACTGATACACACAAAAATTGAAACCCATTTTGAAAAACTTTGAACTGATGTATAGAGATTTACCCAAAAGTAGATTTGAACATGTAATTCTATCCAGATGCTATGAAAACACTGAAAATCTACAGTACATCCATTTTTTAAAATTCATACCCCTTTGATTTCATTCTACTTTCTTGCCTCAGACAAAAACTTTAAAATATGAGTGTTCTCCACAAAAAGAAGCCAATACATCAAAACACATTGAAATTACAGAACACACACAGTTGAACAGAAATCTTTTATGAAAAAACTCATATTTACCTGCAAAAGACTGATTGATGCACATGAAGGAAGAATGCCATTTTGAAACACTTGTATAGGGATTTTAAAAAGGAGAACTGAACATGATTCTATGAGAAAAATATCATATACTTATAGTCCATCCATTTTTTTAAATCACTTAATTCTACTTATTCTTTCATACAATCACTTGAAAACAATTTAATAAAAAAAAAGATGAACTCAACATATACCAGAAGATCCCGTATTATTAATTACACAGTACAGTACTTGCAATCATACACCATATCTATATACAGTAATAGAATAAGTGAAGTGAGTAAGTTTTCTCGCGACACAAAATATAATAATAGTCAAAATGAAACTTGAAACTAAACATTCCGTGGAGCTGGTCGATGGTTTTGTCCTCAATTTACTTCCGTATTTGGCGATTAGGTCAAGTGTGACTCCTATAGTCCATGCGTATCCATTCTTGCCAACGGTCCATCCTCGGAAATCTCTGCCACTGTTCGTTGCATCGAACTTTAAAAAAATTAACAAAGGGGAGGACTCAAACTCTAAATTGCTTATGCATCTGATTTTTAATTACAGAATTAATGCTTCACCAAAATATGCATGTTTGTTCCTTATAACATCAAGCTTTTTTTTAGCAATTCATTGATTCAATCCTTTTTATTCAAGTGGACTTTGAAAATTATTTCTTTGTAATTTCCCTCAAAAATAATACTTAGGAAAATTCAAATTCTCAGATAATTGTTTGCAATGAAAATTGAGAAGTTCAGCAATAATTGAAATGGATTTTTAAAACAATTTTCTTGTAATCCCCTCCCCCCCTAAAATACTAAGAAAAATTCAGATTCTCTGATTATTGCAGTGAAAAGTGAGAATTTGAGCAAAAATTGAAGTGGATTTCCAAAACTATTTTTCGTAATTTCCCTCTAAACATGAACAAAATTCAGATTCTCTAATACAGTAATTGCAATTACGAACATAAACTATGATATGCAAATCAAGTATTTAGAAAACAATTCGTTACACAGACAAAATCCTTATGAGCAGAATCGTCGAGTCCACTTGTATAAGACGCAATGCTTTGATCGATTCATTCGGATGAAAAAAAAACGGCGTGAATTCGGAGACCCCAAAAAATAAAGATAGAGTAAAAAAATGTCAATTCCTTACCATGCGGAAAAATAGTCCCGTTTCATTGTAAGTCCTCTCAACAGATGTCACCAGTTGCTGGGCAATGCGGAAAGCCGCGGCATCCGTGTCAGGATGGCCCACGGAACCCAGGGCCTCCACCAACACGTGTACCAGAGGTGGGTACACGTTCGGGAAGTCCCAGTCCAGGCCGTCGGGGGTCATGCTCACGGGTACCCCGCCGGGGAACCCCAGGGGACTCCGTCGTCCGAAAGTCGAGGTCCTGTTCTTTTTCAGGTACTGCAAAAACTTGAGACCCACTTGTTCCTTGTTCACGTTGTCACCCAGGCAGTCCAACCAGAGTGGGTACACGTTTGACAGGTAGAACCCCTTTCTTTGACTCTGCGAAAATCACATTTAATCAAAGATTTGCAATTTATTCGATGCTGAGGGTCCACATTTAAATTAATACTGATTATTCGTCATTTAATAAGGAACCGCCCACCAAGCATTTTAGGCAAGAAAATGTGTACCAATCATTGACACAGAGTGACATCTATATGAAGAATGTGATTATGACACTTATAATAACCAATTTTCATCATTCAATTCTTGTCTGTTGAGTTCCTCTGATTGTACAGTATTTCCAATGGCATCATCAGGTGATGGGAGTGACATCTATACCATAACTTCACTCAGGAACTGCACAAGAAGACAATTAAAAAATATTTCTGCTGCCATCCCTTTAATATGACAGTAGTGAGGCTCATCAGTTTCTTTGAAAAACATTTCCAGGTTAATTTCTACATCACTGGGAAATCCTCTAATTTGCGGTGACATCTATATGTCAGAAGTGATCCTAATTGAAAACTGATTTTCTTAATAGCACGTTTGTTTGTTAAGTTTTGCTATAAAATATCAGAGGTCAACACGGTCGAAGAATAAACCAGTGGTAAGACCCCCAGTTATTACATAACAACGTTTTCTTAAGTGGTTGACTACCTTCACTGTAGATCGTATATGACATGTTATGAAGTAGGTCCTTTAGCACACGTTAAGTAATGCTAAAAAGAATAGCCCCTTTCTATATTACAGAATTCCTATCTATGGAAATATTGCAGATGTACTAACCAGTATTCACCAAAACTTTACTGGGTTACAGAATAAGCTAAGAAAAAATGCACCCACTGAGAGTGACACCTAGCATAACTTTAGGCACAGGTAATGCACACATTTTTGTTTCCGTTGACGATTGCCATTTTCTTTCATGTTTTGCTAAATGCATCTTCCAGTCCATGCAAATTTATTCACCAGCATTTTCTATTCGATCTACTGAGAGTGACATCTATCATGAACATCAACTCTCATGATCTTAAAATATGATAGATGTAGCTGTTACAGGCAAGAGGGTGATTTCTTCCCGATGTTTAAAACTGGATTTAGATCAAATTCACACTTGAGTTTGCTTTTCTCATGTCTTCCTTTTCCATCAGAGTTTCCAACAATCCAGAAGTTCCACATACGGTATATAACAAACCATTGTGCGGAGACTGAAGTCAAACCAGGATCCACTCTGTGGATCATACATCAAGTCCTTGATGACTTCAGCAAACATGCGACTGGTATTGCGATACTTGACAGCCATGACGTTGTTCTTGTCACCAGTCACCTTTTCGTAGTATTCCGCCAAAACCCGGGCATTGTAGCACATCAAGGCATTCAGATCCACTGGCAACACTTGACTGGTTTCCGGCAAATGCTTGAAATCACCTTCAAAAACATAACAAGTGTACAATTCCTTGGTGACGAATTTTTCATTATAATGCAATTTTTACAAAATGTCTGGAAGAAAATATCGCATAGGCATCATAAATGCACCGAAAACGTCCTTTATATTGTCTAAAGCATTTTTTGCACTAAATACAAACAAATAAACAGATTTTCAGTTGTTTTCCAAATGCTTTTCTCACAGTTGACAGAATTTTAGCATTGGATAAATAACAGATAACTTCAATTTAAAAAACAGACAATGACTATTTTCAGTTGGAGAAACTTTGCTAATTTGTTAGATAATTTTTTTATAAGTCCAGAAAAATGTGATCTTTGTCTTTTTCAATCGAATACAAAGTACAAGTGAATTTTTACTCTGATGAATTTATGCATGAATGAAAATATTTTGCAATGTTATGACAGACACATATCATACTAGGCATGACCTTATAATTTAGAACAAACTAAGTTTAAATTTAGATGTTTTTTTAAACTCAAAAAAGCACCAAGCAGTTAGTAAGACGTACTTTATTAGTCTAAACTTTTTGATACGAACGTTTAAAAGAAAAAGGATAACATAATGATGAAGCAAGCAATTCGGAAAGGTCAGGAAATTTCAAATCGAAGATTGAAACATTCAGAATCTATGGTGAAGAATTTCTTAAACTTTGGGGTGAAAATTTTTTTGCTATTCTGAAATTATTTTAATATATCTGATCAAAAGTAAAAAAAAAACTTTTTAAAATTTGGAAAATTAATCTGATATTTCGCACGAAAAAAAATAATCGGAATTCCGACACATCATCCGAACGGATTTTTTTGTTATAGGCAGATTTTCATCAAGCCATTTGACCAGTTTGCATACAGTGCCAAAATTCGTGCAAATCACTCACTACTGCTAAAGTCGCTGCTGTTCTTCCAGGGCATCCAACGAGACGAGGACAGCCAACCACTTTCCGACGCACTTTTGACTTCCGAAAAATAATCCAATTTCTCCACAGCCTTTTCCAATTGCAATCCCATGCGATAATCTTCAGGGAATTCTTCTGCTCTCGGAAAATTGCTGTCGACGGAATAACGACAAGCGATAAATCTTGTTTGATTCAAATTTAAATCTACAAAAAAATTTGAGTTTTTTCGTGGTTCGTCAATCATTCTGCATGAAATAATCAGATTTGAAAAACTATGCTTGCAAATTTTCTTTTTCCTATTGTATGTGATGAAGCAAGCAATTCTGAAAGGTCAGGAAATTTCAAATCGCAGATTGAAACATTCAGAATCTATGGTGAATAATTTCTTAAACTTTGGGGTGAAACATTTTTTGCTATTCTGAAATTATTTTCATCTATCTGATAAAAAGTTAAAATGAACTTTTAAAAATTTGAAAAATTAATCTGCTATTTTGCACGAAAAAAAATAATCGGAATTCTGACACATCATCCGAACGGATTTTTTTGTTATAGGCAGATTTTCATCAAGACATTTGACCAGTTTGCATATAGTGCCAAAATTCGTGCAAATCACTCACTACTGCTAAAGTCGCTGCTGTTCTTCCAGGGCATCCAACGAGACGAGGACAGCCAACCACTTTCCGAAGCACTTTTGACTTCCGAAAAATAATCCAATTTCTCCACAGCCTTTTCCAATTGCAATCCCATGCGATAATCTTCAGGGAATTCTTCTGCTCTCGGAAAATTGCTGTCGACGGAATAACGACAAGCGATCCTCTCCTTGCCTCCGTGTTTAAATTGGACCAATCGACTTTCCAGCCAAAATTCCAACTCGTTCTCCAAACTGTCCAAGTAATCACTGAAATGAGGATCAAGCGAAACAACATTCTTGAAAGATGATTTTTCCTCATTTGTTAAAGAATTCAATTACAACTTTTTTTGAATTGCAGAAATGCTGTAATGCGTCCAATTTGAAGAAAACTGCCTCAGAGTGCAGGTAGATGTCACTGGCAGTGAAAGTACCACTTCAGTATCACACTGCATCATCTCAAGTTTCATGAGCCCAGTGCTACTTTTCATTTTCTTTAAATATTTCTGCTATTTTTGATACAGTTCTTTGAAGAAAAAGAGAAAATTATTTTTTCATTTCAATATTTGGACATACATGTACTTGAGATAGCCAGTGGATCTCATCACAAAATGTCACTCAAGGGACCCAAAATGAATTTTTAACAATACAATACATGTTAGAAAAAGAGAAAATTATTTTTTCATTTCAATATTTGGACATACATCATGTACTTGAGATAACCAGTGGATCTCATCACAAAATGTCACTCAAGGGACCCAAAATGAATTTTTAACAATACAATACATGTCGACACTTGGATTTTTTCCTCATGAAATAATTAGACACAAATTTGTGAAATTGAGATTTCTTTGTAAAAAAAATGAGAACATCATCAAGCAAAATAAAAAAGTGTTCGCAATGACCAAACCTTCCACCACTGCATGCAGAGGTTCTTGTGGAAATCATTTCTGCTATTCTTTGGAGTACCATTTTCTATACCTGCTGTGGGTAGGAATTACTCATTTAGAAATGCTCCTTTGAAGATACAGGAAGAAAAATTGGAAGCAAAACTTGGTCATCAGATAATCATAAGCGGGATTATTATAAAAAAAAACACCCAAAACACATCAATTGCATCTTAAACCTTTGTTAAAGCAAGAAATTTTCAAGATTATGTCCACAGTATTTCTGCCTTGACAATGGAAAACATTTTCAATCAAGTTCAAATTCATCAAAACAGGAAACCCTCTGTAATTCGCATTTTATTATAAATGGAAATTTGCCTTTTATGATCAAAATAAATAAATATAAAATGTCCAGGCATTGATGGTGATAAAATTAGTGGTACAGTACTTACATCCCAAATGATGAATTGTGGGCTTTGGTGCCAAGAAATGCATAGCCCAGTATTTCTCTCATGCTTTCTTCAAACATCTTGACCATGGGGATGAACATTGGTGGGCCAGAGCGGTGCTGATAGTAAACCCTGCCTCCTTCTGGCACAAATCCCAGGTCTTCCACCAATAAAACCATGTTCAGCAAAATTCCTCTTGCTGTCTTCCACATACCACTGCTCAAAAGTCCTTTCAAAATCCAGTATGTGTCCCTTGAAAATACATATTGAATCTCATAATTAAAACAAATCCATTGATGGGACCTGAAGAAACCTTTGTTATTTTGATCCAATTATTTTGACATCCAATAACATCATGAAAATCCTGCACAGACCTCAAATAAAATTCATAAAAAAAATACTGCTGAGCAACAATATTTTTATAAGAATAATTTCAATCAGTGTTCTCCGACCTGAGGTCTGTGGACCAGTGCCAGTTAGCAAAAGTTTTTTGTTACCAGTCCGCAGGAAATTTTCTCATTGCCTGGAGTTTTGCACAATTTTTGGTGATTCTAAAAAAATGCACCAAACTTGAATAGAACGTCATAAAATTGATTGGCATTCATACACACAATAACACAAGTGCCGAATAACCTTCAATTATTTTCACTTCAGCTGGAAAAGCCAATTTTCTATATTCAACTGCTCAACTTCGCTTTTTCCCAGGCAGATGGCGCATCAAAAACCAGCAGGAATTCTCACCAGTAGTGGAACTCCCGGAATCTACCACCAGTCACCGGAAACGGACTCGGCAAATAATACAAGGAATATCTGATAAAATTAGTGGTACAGTACTTACATCCCAAATGATGAATTGTGGGCTTTGGTGCCAAGAAATGCATAGCCCAGTATTTCTCTCATGCTTTCTTCAAACATCTTGACCATGGGGATGAACATTGGAGGGCCAGAGCGGTGCTGATAGTAAACCCTGCCTCCTTCTGGAACAAATCCCAGGTCTTCCACCAATAAAACCATGTTCAGCAACATTCCTCTTGCTGTCTTCCACATACCACTGCTCAAAAGTCCTTTCAAAATCCAGTATGTGTCCCTTGAAAATACACATTGAATCTCATAATTAAAACAAATCCATTGATGGGACCTGAAGAAACCTTTGTTATTTTGATCCAATTATTTTGAAATCCAAAAACACCATGAAAATCTTGCACAGACCTCAAATAAAATTCATAAAAAAATACTGCTGAGCAACAATATTTTTATAAGAATAATTTCAATCAGTGTTCTCCAACCTGAGATCTGTGGACCAGTGCCAGTTAGCAAAAGTTTTTTGTTACCAGTCCGCAGGAAATTTTCTCATTGCCTGGAGTTTTGCAAAATTTTCGGTGATTCTAAAAAAATGCACCAACCTTGAATAGAACGTCATAAAATTGATTGGCATTCATACACACAATAACACAAGTGCAGAATAACCTTGAATTATTTTCACTTCAGCTGGAAAAGCCAATTTTCTATATTCAACTACTCAACTTCGCTTTTTCCCAGGCAGATGGCGCATCAAAAACCAGCAGGAATTCTCACCAGTAGTGGAACTCCCGGAATCTACCACCAGTCACCGGAAACGGACTCGGCAAATAATACAAGGAATATCTCGAATTGTAGGCAAACCCTTCAAACCGAATCTTCTTCACGAGCTTCTTCCATTCATCGTTCAGTACCAAAGCAAAATCCCGGAGATCTTCGTCCGTAATTTTATCGAATTTCTCGGGTCTACGGAAATGAAGAATTGTAACCCTTAATTTCATACCTACAGCAAAATAAAATACATTACTAATACGTTACTCACATTTCACTCCAGTCGGAGGGAACGAAGTTTTCTTCGAACACACCAGATGGTGCGTGGAATTTGTCTTCCAGCCAGGATTTCATGAGAGAAATGGGAATCGGATCCGGTTTCGCTTCATTCCTCATTGCGATGAAAGTCCTTTGGGTCGTGTCAGGGGATGAAAGAGACCCCAAATCCAGGTAGTCTTTCAGGTCATTGAAGAGCCCACTGTCCATGACCTCTTTCAGGATGTAGTCCTCACAGAACAGCCTCCTAAAAATCAGGCAATTAAAAATGGTGCCTCATCTGTGCCTGGTACGAAGGGCTTTCAAAAAAAAATTACAGCCTGAGTGAAAAAACATGATTTTCAAAGAAAACATTAAGGCCAAATATCTTGAGTTGACATGATAATGAGAGATTATGAAAAATGCACAAATCAGAATAAAAGACGTTTCAATTTCTATGTCATGAAACAACTGGAGAACAAAGGCGCAAAATTGCCAAGATATTCCAAAAAGCCTCCTCTATGGTATGCATCATATTTTCTATTTCACTTTTTTGACAGAGCAATAATCATGCAAAAATGGCTATTTTTTGGGGGTCTGGAACATACAAGGATTGTCCAAATCCAACCAACCTGTGATCTTTTCAGAGCAGTCAAGAGAAACCCAAAATGTTAAATTGTTTTTAGTGTTAAATTCTAAAATTCCAGAAGTTGAAAAAAATGAACAACACACTGCATGATGAAAAATTTCCAAACATTTCTGGAATTTTTTTACGCACTCAATAGTGCGCTGAAACATAGGTAAATTAGGTAAGCCCAAAATTTAAATGGCTTGTCCCAGTTAAAAAAGAAAATGCAGGGAATTTTCAACTGCCCTGAGGAAGGGGAGTCTTCAAAAAGCCCTTATGAATACTGTATTTACTCAAGTACCACAGGCACCCCTTTTAAAAAAATTCAGACACATAAGTAGGGTGCTCATCATACCCAAATTTTGCATGAAATCTGTGACATGCACAGAATGATCAAAACAAATACTGTATATGAAAACTCAACGTAAAAACATCAGATGTCAGACCTGTCACACAAGTTGGGGTACTCATCACCAGCAGGCAACAACTTCTCATCTCTTTTTGCAAGAACACCAGCACTCAACAATCCCACAAGAACTAATGCAAATATAATACTCATCGCGAAACCCTAACGAAGATTTTCCGACTCCAGAAACTATGGTCAGGCGTCTGTAGAACCGAAGTTTGAAGTATTGTTAAGGGTGTCTAAAAAAGAAGAGAGTCAGTGAACAACAGGTCCATAGTCACCATCATCGCGCAAAGAGGTTTCGCTGGACCATTTATGTGCCTTCGAGACCAAACTTCAATAAATCTTGAGGGGATTCTCACTAAAATCGTCAAAATAAGTTACCACGGAACTCAAACTCACTAGAAAATGACGGAAGTCGCTTTCCAACCGCATATCCGAACTAAAAGAAGATTGAAGGGACGCTGGTATTCTCACTCATTTTGCCCCCCAACATGTTCTTTTGATAATTTTATGGGATGTACCAGTCTGTGTACTAAATCCTGGGTATGAGTACCTGCTGTGCTTAAAATTGGATCAGGACAAATCCTAATCCGCATCTAAGTTTACACACGCCTTTTGAATGAATCCCTCAACTCATTACAATAACGATACAGTAAAGTCTCAGAATAAATCATGTTAATGCTGTATTAGTAAATGATGAAAACCAAGTCATTTTGTAGGTTCCTGTTCCATAGCGTTGCATAAGTTTCTTCGTAAAATTTTTGTTACATGAAGCTGTTCAACTGGTTACCACAGTTGTTCCGTAACAAGAAGGCAACTTGACGAAAAAAGAGGCAAACATCACATTTAATCAGGAAAACTCTGGAGTGACACAGGGGTTTTGTACATAAATCATCATTTCGAAAACGAATAGTGCAGAAGTAATCAGAATGTTCACCTACTGTAGGATCTCATCATAACAAATAATTGCTTACAACAAAGCCATTCCTTGGTTCCTTATCCAATAGCCAAGAAATTGCATGAGTTTAATCATAAATAATTTTTGTTGAAAAAAAAACTATTTTAACCATCTCAAAGGCTTCACTGAAACAGAATTTACGGTACCTGTATTTCCAAACCAAATTTAAATCTGTCCTTCACGCGCTAAAACACCATCTCGAGCGTTTTAATTGATGATTTCTGGTCAAATTTTCTTAAATCCCTAAAAATGAATACTTTTCTACGACTTCTTCTCGATTTCAACTTGAGAATTACTTCTGAAAAGCGAAGGTCGAGCCTAAAAACATCCCGTGGATATCCTTGCGTTAAAACAAGCTGCGAAGGAAATAATCCAACACGACGTTTCACTTCATAGCGCGTTTTACTTCCATCAACCCCGGGCTTCAAAACTTCAACTTATGAGGAAACATTCCGTGGCGAAGCCCGAAGACGGCTCGCAGATACTTCCACATGAGTTTTGCGTCCGGGTGTTTCCGCATTGCCGTCAGGATGACCTTGTCCACTTCTTTCTGGTCCTTCTTCTTGTCATCCGACACCACGTAACGCTCCTTCTTCGTGTCGTTCTACAGCAGTCGGAAAAAGCGGAACAAGTTGAACTACGCTGCCTTCATTCTCAGCAACTACACGAGCCCGTGGAACATTGAGGGCTCCAGTTCGAACCTTGCTCATCGCTACTGGGCCGAAACGCCGATGCGGCGCAATGGACATCTGTTCACGCGGAAAGGACCTGTAGAAGGATTCACACAATCGTTGAACGAATAAAACTCCGTAAATATGGCCAATGACGAAAAGCATTTCATCGTAGATTCCGATATAGGTATCTTCACTCGTGAGCTGTCCGAAACTCGAGTAAACGTATGATGAAGTTTTTCTCGGGGTCTAACATACATGAATAACGGGTTAAGAAGACCGTATCTCGATATCGGGGATGGCTCACGGCACATACGAACGCAGGATCACCGCGGAAGTATTATAACAAGATATAAACGCGATCTTACCGTTGACCAAGATGAGGCCAGTGCGAAGCTGCTTCAGGAACACAACGCGCTTTCCCTTGTGGCGACCGGAGAGAAGGATGCAAATGGTGCCCGGGGTCAGGCTCTTCTTCAGGGGCAACGGGCGACGCGGTGCAGCCCTCTTGGAAATCTTACGGGGTTTCGGGGCGCCTTCCCCTACGTGCTAGAACCCCACGAAGAAGTGTGCGTGCAAGGATTGAGGGAAGCGCAAGGGCCTAGGTTGTAGGAAGAACTACTTAGCGCCCGAGGACCAGAAGAAGTTGACGTCTTTTTTTTTTTTTGGCATCGTATTAGGCGAAGTTATCTCAACGAAGCTCTCCTAGTCCATGATCTTGGGATGATAATCTCAAGCGCTGCGGTAATCTTCCATTTACGAACAGTGCGCAACAAGAATGATCGACTTACGGCAGGTCTCTCGCCGTGCTTGATTCGCTTGTACAGGGCTTTCCGCTGGTACATGCGGGCTTTGCTGAAACGCATGAGACCTGGCACCAGAGCATAATTTCGCGGTCGGCCAACTTTCTTCGGTGCCGGTCCTTTAACACGCGTGGAACGCTTCCCAACGGGAGCAAGTTGCTCCTTCGCCTTCGCGGGCTTCGAATCCATTACAAAAGATCACACAAACCTACTTGCTCTGAAAATTCAGGAAAGAAATGCTACAAATGAGGCATTCGCCGTATGTAGTCGCGCTCCACCTGCGGTCGATCGCGATGAAGGGCATGAGGTGAGTTAAGCATTGCAAATCCCTAGAAACGTTCAAAATGTCACATTGGAAACACTAACGCAACACTCAAGATGAATTCGACTTCAATTACTCGTGGTTGGGCCTTCGTCCGTCCACTCCCACAATCCTTCGCAATGATTCCAACAGAGAGCAGGGTAATGGGCATCGTCATCTTGCGGAGCGCCACCCGGACAGCTCTGTGAAGCTCGTGGCACAAAGAGCTAAGAATAAGTGAACTAAGAATCTAGGATACAGTGCAGTACACTTGTCAAATTGATATACAACATCAGTTTTATTATCTAAACAAGCACATACGGTTTTAAAATATAATTATTTACGAAAAATAACCTCGCACTCAATTTCAACAAAGACAAGACCACTTCTCAAAGAAATCTCTTACAAACAAGGACAACTGTAAGTGATAGAACCACTGTAACTTCACCACGGCGGTACGCACTTGACACCGGGGCCTTCAATTTGTCGCCATATTTTACTAAGAAATC